TTTTGTGACCGAAACCGTTTATCGACCCCGAGATTCGGGACGGCGGTTGATTTATGGCGAACTCGCATTCGGCTTGCTCGGCATTGATATACGAGGCGCGCGTGTTAAGAATCGAAATTCCTAGATTATTTTACTTCGTTAGGGGGAAGGGTTATTAAGAATGTTTGTTTAAATTTGTATTTCCAAAAAGTTAAAAAAAAATTCTCAAACGTACAAATAACGTACAGTACAACCTCGATAATCCGAATACACGCTAATCCGAAATCACGATAGTCCGAAATAATTTCGTTCCTCATAACAACGATGACACCCCTGAAGACATTGAAAAGAATAAAGTTTATTTCTTAATGCTCGTGTCCAAATTTATTATTTTCACTAGTTTCGCGATAATCCGAAAATTTGATAATCCGAAAGGTCGGTGATCCGAATCTATTCGGATTAACGAGGTTGTACTGTAATGTACAACGCTGCTTGGTGTGATGTTCTGTTTAGGTTCATTTTTGTTTGAATTTGTGTTTTAAATTAAAAAAATTTAAAAAAATTTCTTAAACCTACAAATAACCTAGTCCGAAGCTGCTTGGTGTCACACTCTGTTTAGCTTCATTAAGAATTTTTGTATGAGTGTGTAGTACAAAAGAAATTAAAAAAATAATCGAGGTTGAGGAGCGAGTCTACCGGAGAACCCTTCGGCTCGCTCGGCATTGGTATGAAAAAAAGTGTAGTATGTGTTTGGCCGTTGATAAATGTCGTTTGCCACTGTGGACGTAGAGAGACGAATCTAAGGGAGAGCCCTAGCTATGCCGAACTTGCCTTCGGCTCGCTCGGCATTGGTGTAAAAAAATGTACTGTGTGTTTGGCCGTTGGCAAATGTCGTTTGCCACCGTGGACATAGAAAGACGAGTCTAAGGGAGGGACATGCCGAAGCTTATTGGTATACGAGGCGCGTGTAGTAAGAATCGAAAGTCTTTAGTTAGTTTTTACTTGGTTGGGGAGAGAATTTTTGTTTGAATTTGTATTTCGAAAAAAGTTAAAAAAAAATTCTTAAATCTACAAATAACCTAATGTCCAAAGCTGCGTGGTACCACGCGTTACTGACCACGCTTGACTACGACCAGAGATTTGATTTATTAGCCCCTTAACCTAAGCTAACTAACTAACCTACATCCAAAGACTATCTTTCCTCGAAGGAGCAGAGAAAGCGGAACTATCAGCGGAAATGACCTAAACAAAACCCCCTATCCGAAAAATGAGCTGAAAGGGAATAGGGAACTATGTTGTTGTTAGGGAAGTATTATACACTACGTGTACACCCCTCAACGCAGTACGCCATGGTACACGTCAGGGAATACTCCCCAATGGAAGTTGCGCTAAAAAGCACTACTTCCTAAAAAAATACGTCGACTTACATCGACGGAACCGCCGCAACGTTCAAATGAACTTACGCGGTTGAAATGTGGTATTATTTGAACGGTTATATTGCGCATGCGCCGATACAGAAGATGTATTTTTTTCAAATGGCGCCATCTATACAACTGTCACGGGAACTGTCAAAAAATCTGGGACATTACAATTTTATGTAAAAAACACCATTTTGAAGGAAATTTAACGTGTTTTATCGTTGTTATGAAAATGTCATTGTATACAAACCTACATTTGCACAATTTCGAGTAATCGACTTGATGTCGACCAAAAATTCATGCCGATGTGCATGTTGCTACGTATCATAAAGACATTTACGATAGAAATGGTATGAAAATTTATTATTGATGTAACAAATTATCCGTGTTCTTCAAGAAGAAGTCCTATAGAAGGTTATTCATCAGTTTATATTCCGGTTAGAGCAAAAAGTATGTGCGAGATTTTAGCGGAAATGAAAGGCCACTCGTCACACGAAATATTCATGCTAAAAAGGTATAAAAGCTCGTACTTCAAATATACTTATTACCATTGGAGGACACGATACTGTAATACACATCACCTTATCCAATACTTGCTTGAGGATGAAGTCCATTTGTAAAGAATCTATGCAAAGGCATGTGAATTACTACCTACGAAACACTATACGCAAGGAGTAACCAAGTTACTCTTTGCTATACGTTCCAACAAAATTGTAAAAACTTCTACCTATACATATTATAAGGATTGTGTTAGAAATCATGTGAACTATTTTAAAAATCATCATATTTGCATGCCTATAATACATTCATAAACAACAAATAAGGAATGCCACACAAACTCCTCACGACCACTCAAAATGATTCAATTATATTCATGGATTTCTATTATAGCATGTAGACTCTGTACGTGGAGAAATCGTAAAGAAAATTCTCCCGATGAGGAACGTGTTCGATAAGAGGCTAAAACAACCACGAGTGTAATAAGTACTTTGGATGTATTGTTAACTAAGACATTGTATTTTTAACATGCACATACAATGTGAAATCATGTGTACATGTATCGTCATCATCATTGCCCGATGTATCGTTTCCTTCCTCTTCAAAGGAATCCTCAATTTCTTCGCATCTAACAGAGCTACAGCCGCTTTCGCTTTCATTGGATGTTGACCGTGATTCTATGACAGTTTCTTGAAGACGTCTCGCTGCAGCAATTGTGTTCCTTGTTCCTTTATAAACGGCGCCCAACTCTTTATAGGATACAGAAGTTTTAGGCGGTTCACATTCTTCTATTGAATGCTTCAATATTGATATGGATACTTTTGGCCACAAATATATTGTTTTATCATCATTTACAGCCCAGGATGAGGGAATGTGATAAACAGAATTGTCTTTCTTAAAAATAACGACGTCCCAG